ATGAAGGGAGTTTTAAGTGCTCCGAAATATTAACACGACGTTCTCTTACATCTGTACGAGTCATCGATTGGGCAATTCTCTCATTTGCAAAAAAAAAGTTATATCTACGTCTAACATACGGTCACACTAGACCTGTCAAAATGGATCATAAACTCATTTCTTAACCCATATATTAGTAAATGGGTTAGTTATATTTAGTAAATGGGTCATAAATGAGTAGAAGTCTTATATTGGTGTTAAATGGGTCATAAATGAGTTTACAACTGATTTAAACTCAGCGCATTTCTTTTGCCCTCACTCAATCTTGCATTCACTCATTTCGTACTCTCATTTCAGTTTGGGTATGAATTTTTTTATATTTAATTAAATATGAAAATGTTTTAGCAATATGAGTCTGATCAGGTATGGGTCGGGTCGGGTATGGGTCAAGAAAATTACATTGTACATAAATGGGTCATAACGGATTAATGGGTCAATTTGGGTCAGACCATTTATGACCCAACCCAAACCCGATCAAAACCCAACCTGATCCACCTATTTGACAGGTCTAGGTCACACAACATAAAATCATACTCTAATCATATGAGATAACTCTAATGACCCGCACTTGGATTTTTGGGCCTAAACCATCTCGTGGATGAGCATTTAAGCATGGATTAATGCTGCTAAAAAGGCATTAAGCATGGATTAATGGTCATGAGATTTGTATGGGTCGTGATTGGCGGGCTTCTAGTGGCAGCTGTTGACTTTAGGCCCAACAGAAAAGAGGAGAAAACAAAAACAAGGTTTCATTTCCAGAGGTTTGAACTCAAAACAAAAAATTCATTTCCACCTAGCCCAACAATTTTTCAAGGGGGGCAAAAAAAGACTTCATTTTTCAGGACTTCAAATCATTCAAATATAGTATTTACAGTCCCGCGAAAATTAGTGACAATAACGTATATCATCTCCAACTATCTCTTATCACGCAGTCCGTGACGATTGCGATCGATATTTCGACAACGCACTTTTCATCCCAAGCTTAAAAAGAATATTGCGATTTACCCCCATGGAGTGTAAGAAGCTATAGATAGTTAAGAAGGGGCAAAGTGTATCTATTTTTTCAAGCTTTAGGGTGAAAAGCGTAGGATTTCAAAATTACCGGGTGCAAAGTATACATTCCGAACCCACCTGCGCATGGCCGAGTTGGTGGGCGCTTTCCTTCCCTCAGAGAGGTTCTGGGTTCGAATCCCCGCTCGGTTCCGTAATTTAAGTGGGGGACCCTGACGGTGGGTTGCTGGGCTAGTCTCCCCCGAGTACTCCGATTACCTGTGCGGGCTCGTCCCCGAAAAATGGTGACGGATCCTCGGTTACCAAAATATATATATTCCGAAACTAAATAATGAAAAGTGCAATCAAGGAAAATAATTGAGATATGCTTACGTACACATCTGACCAGAACAGGTTCAGTGGCAGTCGTGTGTATGGCTTGAATGGACAAATCCTGGACCGACTTTAATTTCCACAGTCCAATTCGATTTGGGACAACTGCTATTGGTACTGATAAAAAGACTACCAGTGAAATAAATCATCTATACGATATCAAAAGGAGGAAAGTTCTTTTTTTCCCGATCAGAAATAGATGAAAACACGGTAATAAAGCATTCACGAAATCGTTTCGATTAAAATCATCAACATGGACACGATCTTCCTGTTAAATTATTGCTTGTATTGCTCACAAAAAGGGAAAAGTACAAAAAAATCCTAAACATATTGTAAAGATGCCAGTTGAATCCTAAACCTTTCAATTTTGCCAATTGAATCCTAAACATTTCGACAATTTGCTAATTTAGTCCTTCCAGTCAATTTTAGCCGGTAAGAGCCGATGTGGACACCAACTATCCTACGTGGTACAATCGGCGTTGACGTAGATAATTTTTTAAAAATTTTCTATATTTTTTATGATTTTTTTCTCTTTGTTTTTCTTTTTTTTTCCTTCTAATATTGGAGACCCTCGTCGGACTTAGTAGGAAAAAAAAAGGAAAAAATTTGAAAAAATTATCCACGTCAGCACCGTGCCATGAAGGACCGTCGGTGTTGACGTCAGCAATTTCTAACCAAAATTGACCAAGTCATCAAAAAGTTTAGAACTCAATTAGCAAAATTGAAAATTTAAGAGTGAATTGACATCCGTATAATAAGTTCAACGCTCTTTTGGTGACTATCCCCTCACAAAAATGAATCGACAACCTGTTATATTCATTATAATTATACAAAAATTGTTATTGATAACGAAAATATTCATCGTACTTCTAAACGATGTAAATAATCATTCTCGAAAAAATTCTTAAAAAAAAAATTTGAACCGTTGAACTTTCGCGAAATGGACGCATAATCCTGTCCGTGAAGAGGAGGCAGGAGTGCGGACATCATTGACCGCTGGAAGGTCGGTCTGGCTGAGAACTGAAACTGAAAGTGCCATCTAATGGTCAAATCACGAATATGGTGGAAGATGTGAAGAAGAAGAAGAAGAGTGCGTTGAAATTTGACTATGAATAGCAAAGAGTCGGGGTGGTCCTATCGCCATCATTTCCCATCCGTCCATCCGTCCATCCTTGCCTTGTACACAAGAACTACAAGACAAAAGGCACGCCCCCATCTCTCGAATTTTTTCCACGCCTCGCCTTGCGCGTGCTGTCGCCGTACTCATCGGGGCTCACATAGATTCTACGTCCGAGGAGGGTGTGAAAGCATATCTATAAGGTATGAATTCGCCGGCCGATCTGCCTGCGTGACACACCGCCATGTTCACGATCTCCGGCAAAAGTTTGGGCGGAAGGATTATATTAGAACTTCGCGAAACGGTCGAGGACTAAATTGGAGAAATTTAGAAAGTTTGGGACTTGATTGGTATTTGTACAATAGGCTTAGGGTTGATATGGTAATTTTCCCTGAGAGTGACAAAATCAATATCGTAATGAAGAAAAATTGAGTGTTGCCCCCCAAATATAAGTTTGCGGTTGGCATGTATAAGAGGCTTCCATGGAAGTAGCTGACGGATGATGTTTAGTCACGTCACTGAATTATTCTCATTGAGTAGAAAATGTGGGGGGGCTAGGTTAGCGGTGATCATGAATCGAACGTCACCGACGGTGGTTTAGCTAGGGGCATAGAGAGATTAGAGATTAGATAATAGACATGTCAAAATAATGGGTTTTTAATCCATATTTAATGAGCTGAGTTGTTGTATGGGTTAGTTATATTCGGTAAATGGGTTTAGAATGGTAAAATCAAAAATAATACAGGTGTTAAATGGATTTACAACTTACTGAGATCTAACCCACCTCTATACTCTCTCTCGCCCTCACTTGATCTCGCATTTACTCTCTTCACGCTCTTCCGTTAGTTTGGATATGAGTTTTCCTAAATTTGATTAAATATGTAAGTGTTTTAGTAATATGAGTCAGGTCGGGTATTAGTCACTAGATTTCTATTGCATAGAAATAATTCAATTTGGGTCAAACCATTTTCGTCTCAACCTGACCCACCCATTTGACAGGTCTAGATAATAGGCATTAGCAATACCTACTTTGAGGTTATGGTTTTTAATGGTTAGTAAAATAGAGAAAATTTGGACCATTTAATTTAAATGGCGATTGATATGTCATTCTCTGATGGCATGTTCGGTTCACAGAAATAGCTATTCATGCCCAATTTTGTTCCTATTTGAATTATTTGCTTAGCTCTGCAATTGGGAAGCTTCGGTTTTAAATGTCCTTGCGTTTTTAATAATAAATCACAATTAAAATAAATTAGGATTATCAAAAACATATCATATTTACAATTATTAATTTGAATTCGTTTAAATGATGATTTTAAATAAGAAACAATATACTATTATAATCATAAATGATATATTTAATATTTGAAGAATAATTATAATACAATAACTCTATGTATTTAACATAATTTACTAATATATCATAGTCAATCACTAATTAGAATATAGTTGTTGGGGTTTAGTTCATACTCCCCATCAGTAGGAATAATTACTAAGTATGCGTTTGTTTCGCGGAAATGAGTAATTTGGAAAATATTTTCCAAAAAATGATTGCTTATATCGTTTAGAAAAATTAATCAACGAAAAATGTTTTCATCATCGATAACAATCAATGTCTAACTATTTTCATGGACGATCAAAAAATTTTCCATTAACGCGAAACAAACGCACCATATATATATATATATATATATATATATATATATATATATATATATATATATATAATATTTTTCTATTGTAATTGAGAGTTGTAACGGAGAGGTGGGGGTGCTAATTATAATAGAATCATCTGCCGAATATAACCCTAGTTTAAAGGTGAATCAGGATAAAATATTATCTCGATTTCTCTTCATCGCTTTTACTTTCTATTTCGTTGTATTTGTACGGCTAGTCTTAACAATAGTTACCTAACAATTAAGTGAATATAATGTGATAATGAAATAACAAACTGTGATAATAACACAGAGTGGGATGTATTTTGATTATAGTAATAACCCACTTTACTCCTGCAACTTATAACTCTCGGATGGAAACAGTGTGGCGTATATAAGTCAATACCCATTTCTTTGATTTCTCCCACCAACTAGCTTGCTGTGCCACATCAAATTTATCAGAAAATCCTTTCATCGAATCATCTTAGATTCTGTCACTGCGCATGACGAATTTGACTTGGAGATTGGAGGATGGAGATTGTTCACGTATCAAAGTTCGTGCTCAACTAAGGCCCCACTCTCTGCGTATCGCGAGAGATATAAAGAAGATTATAAATCTAGAAGAAACGTCTGCTCTATGCAGATATGGATTCCTAGAGTTGTCACCATCAACGATAAACGATTATCTTGAACCTTGTCTCTTCAGGCAATTTGCAGAAAAGTGAATTATTATGCTTTCTAGCAAATGCCCAAAACATAGACATATGACATAAAATGTTGCGCGGAAGTACACAGACGAACGAACCCTTATATCGTATGTCGCAGTTCATGTAGCATCGCAACAAGTGACCAAACCTTTAGCTATATAAACCGATCCGACTACGGTGAAACGCAACTGATAATAGTAATGAAACGACAAGGCCTGTGTTTACAATTGATTTATCATAGAAGCAGACTCCTGATGATGGCTGCTTGATCACTGTCCCTGTCTGTTGAAGCCAAAAGCTGCGAGAGTTGGTCACTCAAGTCATCCACTTCTCTGTGCAAGCTTCTAATGCAGTTGCATGTCTCTTCCAACAGCTTTGATGCTGATACCTGTTAGATAAGTACACGATACTAATGATATATATATGCTTCTTAACCCTACTAATGGAAGTATAAGGAACTGTGTCACGTCAAGTTCTGTCATGAAGATGACACCCAACCAACGTCGTGTATCTCACATGCATGCGTACGTGAGCGCACTCACATAGCAAAATGCGGGTAGGGATGTAAAACTCGAAGAGTCTCACAACTTTTATAGAGTAAAGTTGGCAATGATAATATCTTAATTTTTTATAGCTTTACGTGTATGGCTCATTGTATGGATGAACATTCTTTCGACCGGCTTGTAGGTTATAAAACCGAAGCGACGCTATATAGGAGAAAATATGCATTAAGACCATCTGTACACCATACCAGAGAAAGACGATGCAAAATCCTCACTAAATTTCATCTACGTGATGTGTGGTAATGTAACGGTGTAAATCGATTGACGATTTCATCTCTATAATCTACTTGCAATACGACATCCAGATGAATTTATTGAATATGCTGTACAAGTTTAAGAAAAATTACCACTTTACTTGGTAAGGGAACTTTAAAAAGATTTAGCCTACATATTTAGCATTATACATGTATTCTCCATATACATCCCTCCAGCTCAAGTCGAAGGCCATGCATGGACCAAAAAGAAGAAAACAGAAAGATAGTACGACTACTCGCAAAATATAATCCATTTGCCAAAGCTGATGCAGGTGATGCATATAAGGAAACCAGATAATAAAACCCTCATTTTGTGACGAGGTGGCCAACGAAACTCACATGACAATCTAGCATGAACTTCATATGTAATCGGGTTGAAAATTAGGTCTCTGCATTTCTAAGACGTGATTGTCCGAGACAATATCTTTGTGGATATCGGTACCTTATCTGCACGGTTGGTGCGGAGCTGAGGAATGAGTTGTCGTAACTTGGACAAGAGGTCGGACATCTGTTCATCGCTGATATTGGCAACACTCGATGGCCGTGAAGAACGCGATGCACTCCTGGTGGACATTGTACAAAACGGTTGAAGCAAAGACGAGAAACAGCTTTGTGACGAAAAAGAAGGGAAGGACAGACACTAGTAATTAAGTAGCAAGTGGTAGAAAGTAGAAGCTTCGAGCAAAAGGAGAACGCACGGAAAGGCAGAGAGAGAAAGAGGGAGGGAGAGAGTAGTGAATGAGGTTTTGGGGTTGTATCTAAGCAGCTATATCTAGGGTCGTCTTTATATAGGAGTTTTCTCTTGTTTTGTAAGGATATTTTAATCACAACCACAAAAGGAAAGACTCATCAGCTAGATATTAACCTCTTGTTTGAAAATGGGACACTTTGTGCTTTTTATATTATAAAGTGCACAGTAAGATTTAGACGAAAGCACATGGAGCTTGTTCGAAACAAACGCGGAAAAATAAATACAGAACACAAGGATTTACGTGGTTCGATCACAAGGTGATCTACATCCACGGGCGAGACAAAACAAGATTCCACTATAATCAGAGAGAGTACAGTTTTCAGAAATCGAAAAAACGACTTAACAAAATCTCACGGCTCACAAATCTCTCCCAAAACAAAAATCTCTCTTTTTCAATGAAAAAACCTAGCCGTGGTATAAATAGGGCTCCCCAACTTGCTCCGAGTTGGGCCTTTCGGCCCAACCCTCCGCGTCACGAACTAAATCTCAATTTTTTCTCCACTTTTGGATCGCACAAAAAATATGTCGGGTCGGGTGATCAACCGGACCGAGTACATAAAATTCAAGACATATTTAACAGAGCTAACATACTGTTCCTGCCATGATGGGTTTAATTCTCTTTAACACTTGCAGATCGACGGAGTCTACTTGATAATATCTGCGGAACGTATGATTATTGGCATCAATGTTAGTCATGAATCTGCTCATCCAACTATGGTTTACATGGGAAATTTCAAGGAGATGCTGTGACTTGATCAGAGTGATGCACCAAGAGACGTCTTCCAGTTCATGAAATTCATGAACTCTGGTGAGGTGACGAACGTGTCGTGCTTATACTTTTGAACTTTCAAGCAGGTGTAGGAGCAGTAACTCTTAGCTTCTTTGTATTATAATTGTAAGGCAAATTCACTATCTTTTGAGAGCCGGGGCATTGACTGATCAGGCAAATGCAAGGACAATTTCGATATTCACAAGACATGGGATCAAATTATCTTACAGAAGAAAAAAAAGAAAGAGAAAGAGACAGGAGTCATTAAATAAAAACGTGCTACTGAAGATCTGGCAATGAATAGGGAACCTAACCAGGAGTAGTCGCACTCGGACTCGCACTCGCATTAAGAAATGAATGTCATGCGCGAGGGAGAGAGAGAAAATCGATGCATTTTGGTGTGTGATCTCTATAAGTAAAAGTATTCTAGTACTTTCTGATTTTTCAAGCGCTTCAACAAATTTTTTACTATGTCTGGAAAATGCTGAAAAATGGATGGAGAACCAATAACTTGGGTTCTGCAAAACAGTCAGACCTGATCTCCTGGCAATCTCTATATATAGAAAACTAAAGACCCAGCTTGTAGCATTAAAGGATGATATTCCACGATTATACATGTCAAAAACACGGACAAATTCGCTCAAGAGATTGGTGAAATGGCGTGAACAAAAGCCGCCATTAATAAAAGATAATTTGCAGTCAAAAGAAAATTTTATTAACAACCCAGATTGAGGGAAGGTTGCACGCATACTTTTGAAGGAATTTGCTGAGATTTTATTATAAAAATTAGAGGGATGTCACAACTATATGATTCATGTGTACATTTGAATTTGTAGCTCTATAAATTGTAGAAAACTCAGTCACAAGTTATGGAGTCAAAAAGGCCAACAAGAAGAGAAATTGGACATCCTAAAGAGGTTTTTGAATTCGTCTCTTTAAACTTGTAATACTCACTTGAATGTTTGTTTCTAAGAATTAGCAAGAGGGGCAAAATACCCGATTAATCCTAAACCTATTGTACATATGCCAATTTAGTCCTAAATTTTGCAATTTATCAATTCAGACCTGAATCTTTGAACGAAAATCCAATGTCGTCATTTCGATTAATTTTCGCCGGAAATCGCTAACGTGGTAGTCCAATCATCCGCGGCCATTCTACGTAGCACACCGCTATGTTCGCGAAATTAACCAAAATGATTGGAATTTCGCATAAAATTTTATGACTTAATTAGCAAAATTGAAAAGTTTAGGATTTAATTAGCATCCGTACAAAGGTTTAGAACTAATTGGGCAATTCCCCCTTTGTAAGAGTGACAAGCCCATATGTAAAAACACGAGAGAAGTGATTGTTCTTAGAGTGAAGGTTTTGTCTAGTGAGAGGCAAAGTGTGCGAGGGACTCTTTATTTACCCTTAATGGTGTGATATATAATATAGGGAGAGTATCTAATGTGTTATATGTAAAAGATGTGAGAACAGCTATTGGGGGCGCCAATAGTTAGTTTATAGTAGGGTTGTTGTAGAAAGAAGTTAAGTTCCACGTGGGAGTAGGTTTTACACTTTTAATAAGGCAGTAATTGTACTCTTGGCATAACTACTGGAATTCAACCTATTTGGATTGCTAGAACTTGAAGAGCGGAGTAGCCATACCCAAGCCGAACCTTATAAATCTAGTTTGCAATTTCTATTTTCCTCAACTCGTAATTTCTACAACTTATATCGCTAGTTCACTTTGCGCGTAGAATTATTTTTATCGTGGTCAGTTCTACGAAATTAGTAAGTGTTTTCTTGAAAAACCAATTCATCCCCATCCCCTTCTTTGTTGCTTATTGAACCAAACATTTTTAACCTATGCATGGCTACAAACCACTACCAAGTTTGCATGCAATGATGCACATAAATCCATTCTTTCTCAATTATTAGATCATGTGGATCCCACATGCGGTTCACAACATTTAATGACTGAGATGAAGTAGGCTCACATACTCAATACTCATAGTGCATACGAGAATTTTTATGCTTGCCGAGAGAGAGAGTAGCAGAATCAGTAGTGGTTGGAGGTAGAGGATCGACAATCGCAACAGTGACGGAGCGGCGCTCTCAATCTAACATAAAGCTAGGTAAGGTTTGACACGGAAAGAAGTGGGGAGAATGAGGGAGAATGAAAAGGGCTAGCTACTTTGATTTCTTCGTGAGAGTTTAAATTGAAGATATCAATTTTCCTCTTCAATCAATAATACTTTGCTTATTCCTTAAAATGAGCTGCTTAATTTCTACTTCTAAGGTGGTGCATGGCTCGTGAAGTCAAAATTGCAAATATAGGAGGACATTAATTAGGCTAATGTAACATTCAATCATATTTCCTCACACAGGGGGACAGGAAGTAAGAATCTAAGAGCGCGCGGAAGCTTTCACCAAAGCTGCCATTTCCAATCGTTGCGCATGGTTCTTGTAAGACATGTTTATATGAATTCCCCAACCACTTCAGATTTTGGGACAAAATGTCATTTAATGTAGCGTAAGTGGATTGGTCGGGAGTTCTAATCCCAGCATTCTCTCTTGTTGCTATTCTACATATTGATGACCATGTCTACTATTGTTAAGTGATGGTTTCCACCGTTCTATGATCATGTCAACATGAGAGACCACATTTCGTGCGTAAGGGCTTAAGCTAATATGCGAGGAGAAGTATTGAGAAATATGTTTGAATCTCCATCTTGGCGCGGCCGAGTTTGGCACTGGCAAAGACGTTGAAAAAAAGGAACAACATCCGTGCTTCCGACTTTACCTCAACCGCCTTGGCCAAGCCAAGTTTAGCCAAAAGTCGGAGCAAATCATCTGCCACCTCGATTATGGAGTCTCATATTGGATTCTTTCTTTGAGATATTCACCAAACACCGACCCACATTGGCAATTTGCTAATACCACTTGTTAGGTCGACTCTTCAAATGCCCGATACCTTCATATGAAAAGATAAGGAATTCAAGTCTAAACCCGTCAACGTATTAGATAAAAAACTTAAAGACAATGAGTCGTGAGTCAATGGTGATGTATTTACTACCTCACATTGTACCACATTCTGTTGGGAGCAGCCCAACATGTTCGGGAATCGATTTGAAATATCCCGAAGATTGCTTGACAAGAAAACCTAATAGGAACGAGGCCTACTATGGTAGAACGCTGACAAGGAAGAAATCTAAATAAGAAGTCTTATTTAGAAAGAATACCATGACGGAATCAATTCTAATGATTGCCGAATTAGAGGAATTCGAATCAATCGGGGAGATTTCTAATTGGGACGTGACTTTCAATCAATTAGGGAGGATTCTTAACTTGGGTGGAGATCTACCGCCATAAGCAGGGCTTGGGTGGAGGTTTCTGTGTGCATCAAAAAATACTCTAGAGAAATCACAAGAATCTTCAACAATGTGTGTAAACACGAGAGATCTTGAGAATTCATCAAGTGAGGATGTGTGTTTGTGACAATTGTGAGGATTTATTGTGAGAGAAACACCGTTAGAGTGTTAATTGTAATCCTTTGATTATAGTGGAGCGGTTCCTGGATCAGCGTCCCGTGATTTTTTCCATATTGGGTTTTTCACGTAAAAACTTATGGTGTATCGTTCTTCTTTTGCTGTGCTATTTACGTTTTTTCTGCAAAGAGAATATACGGCGACATCTTGCGTGATTTTGACAATTAGAATGCTGCCGCGATCAATTGCGATTCGACTTAATTTACAACACATTCCCAACGTAGAACTTTCACCTAACACCCTCGTATGTGCACATGTCACTAGGGGTGAACGGTTCCAGGTTCCTTACAGGTTTTACCTGAAACCTACCCTCGAGTACAGGTTCTTCATTTTTTAGAACCTAGAACCTACCCGTCGGAACTTGGAACCTAGAATCTACCATGTCACAGGTTCTAAGGTAGGTTCCAGGGTGTAACAGGTTCTTTTTTTATTTTATTTTTAGTTAAATAAAATGAAAATGAACGCAACAATACCGAACAAGTTTGTCATTCACCAAAGAGAATACAAAAAACTAGTTTTCCTGGCATTACAGTTCAAATATACAATTAAAATGAAAAATCACTGTGTGAATCGATATTAAGGGTGAGTGGTTTCATGTTCCGTACGGGTTCCACCTGGAACTTACCCATGAGAATAGGTTTCTCACTTTTGGTAATTTGGAACCTACCCTATCATAGGTTCCAGGTTGGTTCCAGGATTTACTTAGGTTCCACCATTTGCTGCTTTGATCCACTGACCACAACTTGTATTTAGATACACAAAAAATATGAAACATTAACAAATCATGAAATAAAAGCTCATACTAGTGATTCCAGATTATACATTCATCATATAACGCCATGAAACATTATAGGATCACGTGAAGATATAGACCAATAAAAAACACAAAAAGAACTTGTTTAGATTTTAGGTTTCAAGTTCTAGATTCCACCTACCTAGAACCTGGAATTTTCCCATCGAAACAGGTTTTTCAATTTTTAAAACCTGAAACCTACATGTTCTCACCGGTCAAGTTCTCAGGTTCCAGGGTAGAACCTGGAACCATGCTCACCCTTACATGTAACACTCATCTTCAAACTCTTCTAAAGATTAGACACCGGAAATCCATTGACTAGTCTTCAAGCTTCCGGTCCATTAATCGAAAAGAGAATTTTTTTTTTTAAGGTTAACCAAAGATTGAAGACAGACGAATTCGAGCAATGAAATTTACAGAGATTTACTGAGTAAAAAAGGAAGGAAATCCGTTGTTGAAGCTACGTAGGTTAAGGACACGAAGTGAGTGAGGCACGACCCTCTGTCGTGACCCAACAAGCTCTTTTAATGCACCATGCGCAGAGAGTACCATGCTAGCCAAGCTATTTGGAGACTAAGGTCTCTCTAGACCTCACCTTTCCGACCTAACAATGTCATGGAGGAGTTTCTAATTTATTAATTTTATTTTTCACGGACAATGTTGATAAATTGCCATTTATACATGATATCGGAGCTCGGTTTCAAAGTTTAAATCCCTCGCACCCTTTTTCCGCGATTTATTTCGATTGTCGGCTCGTGTTATTCCACGAACATGGAAATACAGAGGCACATAAACCCAATAAGGGTCTCTCTCTATCCTTGCCTTAATCGAACAAGTTCGAGATTTGTCCTTAACCTCACCAAAAAGTCAAGTTCTCAGTCACTGGCTACAAAATCAAAGGTGGAGAACTCACAGACAAGACTCGTGAATTGGGAACAGAGTCGTGACTCGTGACCAATGAGAAGAAGATTTGAAGCGTGGTGGCCTTGAGGTGACATTCAAATCTAAGCAAAGATCGGTTGAAAATGACCATACAATGAGATGCTATCATGAGTTCACACCATGTGACGGTCTTAAGATGCCGTCTCAAACCCGATATCAAAGTCCCATGGTCTAGTGAGATCTATCGCGGCCTAGATCCAAACCGCCGTATCCTGTAATAAAGACGATCCGTATAGTTTCATTTTATAAGCAACATCGGTCACATTTCAAACCACGGTAATTCGATATTCAACTTAACTCGTGTTATGTCCTTTTGCACAGCGAGCATGACTTGTTTTCACCACACCGACACCGGAACATCTTTCATTCTTAACAGAGATTTGGTTCGTTGGGATTCCATTCGAGCAATTTGAACCAATGTAGACAAGAAGCGTCACATCATCTCAGACTCTTTTTGGTGACCACCACGTCTTGAAGTTTCTGAGCAACCGTTGGCAACGACAAACCCAACGGATAGCCCATGTGCCTATGTGGCCAAAAATGAAGAAAAAACACTATACTCTACGTAGTTGCGAAGCAATCGGACCGTGTACTTCATTCGAGGACTGTAAGCGATAGGATTTGCTTTGCCGATGCTCGACACCTATGAGAAAGTATCTTATGCAGTGGCAATGTCACGTTGGAGGATTCTTTTAGATCGGCATCTTAATCTTACCTCAGTGCATCGTGAGCTACATGAAGATGTAATTTGGTTCAAAAGTAAATGAATCTCTTAACCAGGAGCTTCTCTTGGATCTTTAACTTCACCAAAGGAAATGAGCTTTCGCTATTACGAGGGCTTTTGCAGCTTGTCTGTTTGATTTACAGGGACGGCGAACTCTAAAGCTGCATTCTTTATTTTAATGCGTCGGTACCCGCACGTCTCGCATCCCCAATTTTTCACGTATCTTCTGTCTTTCCTAGAAAGACAAAATACTCTCTTAAAGTTTTACATCCCAGTGATCTCGTGAACCGAGATGATGCATTTTAAAGACATGCTGAGGACCATAAAAGTGAATGAATGTATAAGGACAATGTGTTCGGTTTCATCAGTCGGATCGTCCCTGTTGGTGCTACAGTGGACTCTTTGGATGCACATGGGACACCACCACTGAACCAGTTAGCGTACATGTTTTGTTTTGTTCTCATGTGGGAACAACCACGCAAGAGGCTTCGAGCGAGCATTGGTTTCTTTCTACAAGCATCCGAGAGCATGTGGGGTCTTGGAATTGAACCTGATGATCCCCATCGTTTTGGACAAAACCTTCAAGTCCGAGGGTAACATGGTAGAAGTCGGTAGATTAGTCACCATCCCAATCCAATTCATTGATGAGACACTTTTGGGATCCATCGTTTACCCTATTGATGCTGGGTCGATTCATAGTTGATGGCATGGCGAACTTCGTCGGAACGCGTTGAGAATGAGGGAGATTATGAAAACAGATGTCGCTCTTGACGCAGATCCTCCGTGCATATACTCAGTCTCCTACGACGGGGAATCAAAACATCGGACACATAATAATACAAGATGACCATGTCGACTGCAATGGATTGTCGTCACCCCGTCGTAAAAGCGGGCCATAGGTAAAGCTATGGCCCACTCGAGAAAAGGCTCGAAAGCCTCAAACTTGAACCGGGGACGCTACTCAACCTGCTAACTTCCACCCCAGAAAATGCGGGTACCCTGACACGAAAGTTTAGGTTTATGCATAGCCTTCTGATCGTTCTTCCGTGTTTTTGCCAGCAATTTGGCCTGTTACGAGGTCGAGTGACCAACCTTGTACACGAAATCCTCGCGCTGGTTTCCCTAACAACAGGCAGCACATATCTCACTTGTCATGTTCTTGAAAAGCTGACAATGAATATGCCTCTTGAAGCCCTTGCTTATTGAGGTGCAGTCTCCGAGTTACACAGAGGCATTGGTCGTGGAGATTTGAGGCAGCATGTGATGCTGAAGCATCTTTCGCTGTAGTTTCTTGTCTTTCTGTTTTGTTCGTTCCCAGGCTAAGTCTTCGACTTAAGACATTGTAATGAAGCATTACGTGAAGACTGGATGCAACTCTTAAGTGCATAACCATATTTAAAAGAGAACAGATAGGTCAGAACAACAATAGCTTGGTTTTATGATTTCCTTAGTTTTATTGTACATCTCTTATAAAATCGATGTTTGTTTCGCTTTCCTAACGACAAGTTCACATCAGAGTGGCCACCACAAAGAGAGAGTTCAGGCCAGAGTAAGGACATGGAACATACTGCGCGTGATCTGTTTTTCGTTTTAACCCCATGTTTGCCTTGCTCTTCCCAAGTACATCCAATCATCAATCAACAAGGAGATGGAAACCGAGACTTTCCATTGAAGCCTTGTTATGGATTTCTTATAAAGAAGCATTACCAAACGAAATTCGCAAGCATTATAAAATTGCTTTGCAATGGCTGAAAAATCAGCACAAATAAAATGCAATCAGATTCAAGCATCATTACTGGGAAAAGATTTGACAAATTCAGAAAAAAATATATGGATGAATGGCTCGAGTTCCCAATTTTGGAAGGGAAAATGTCTATGATTCTTCACTTTCTCACGTCAAGTAACTCCACTTATACAGTGTCAGCTTAGTCAACGAGAATGTTCTCGTGCAGTAACCTTCATCTTCAAGCCTTCCGTTTAACTTACAGAATGAATGAAACAGTTGAATATTCCCTTCTCATATCTTCCATGAGTTGACTCAATCTATACATAGCTAAAAGCAGTACACTGAGGATACATCAAAAGCACGATGGATGACTGATAAGGAAATCAGAAGACTTCCTTCCGATGAATCTAGAAAGCATCATGGGAAGCATTTCATCCTCTGGAAAATGAAACACGGGGTCCATATTACCATAAAGATCAAACAAAAATGTCATGGAAACTGCATTTAGACTTTTGTTTACCTGTCTCTCTACCTCAACAGCTGAAGCAGCAAGCCTGCGCCTCAAAGTCGAATTCTCCTCTTCACAACTCTCAGCCCTAGTATCTGAATGGCAAAATGCGTAAGGAGTATATTAGACTGGTCAATCAGAAACTGTTGAGCGTCTCCTGGTTGTAGTGACTATCAGCAAAACCAGTGAGCTATCACATTGGTCTGAAATGCTTATTTTACCTAGATAGCCAAACTTCACTGACAAACCATTGCTAATGAAACACAAAGATCATTTGCTTGCTCTTATATGCGAGTGCTATTTAGGTGGTAGTGATAATGCCACATTCCGTTCAGACATTTGAAGCACCTAAATGGAAGCGCAATGAGCACAATAACTGGACATTGTCCTTATCTTGGCATACTGGAGATGACAAGCCTTAAAGGGAAGGAGAATAGCTATGATGATATACAGCGTGTCTGGATAGAGTTTTTCTTTTCGCTTGTTGCATAATTTAAATCTTGCAGCAGACATGCTTTTACCTTTTTTAACCCTAAATACCTTAAACTTTCACAATATACAAATGTTGACACTTATATTCACATATATTTTTTCATAATTTTCTAAAATTTGGATAATAATTTTAATTTTGGCAGGAAAGTAAAAGAAAACGTTTTACTTAAACTTAATTCCAAACAAACAAGTGAATAAACTATACATATATCATTTTGTTCACAGAATTATTGCAAGGGATACACACTGAAGGAGCATCGAGGAATAAAATTCTAAGACCATTCGAAGGTGTATGTGAGAGTTGAGATGGTAGAAGTGATGCTACCTAGATCACGTGATAGCTATCCCCACGTGAGCAGAAATAGCAGGACAAAGTTTAGTTGGGACTGAGATCAAACCCAGCAAATCAAATGAATTAAAACAACCATTCCACCTAGCAGAGACCAATGCTCAAATGAATGTTCTACATTGAATAGTGAGAACGCAAAGGCGAGAGACGAAAATGTTCTACAGTGAACAGTGAGAATGCAAAGGCGAGAGACAAAAACAATCTCTACATAGGTAGTAGGTACACATTGGCCATGAAAATCGCAAATTGCAACGAGCAAACCACCTCCAATTGTTATGATGGTATCATATGCAGAGATTGCCACCTAAATATATGTTTGCACAAACACAAAGCCATATGGCTCTTTCTGCAACCAAAACTCAATAGCATATTGCTCATCTTTCTTCCTATACAAGGATAAGTAAAACTTAACGAAAGTGAGTGATGTAAAAGCAGGAAGTATTCATAATTAGCAAAATAAAGGGAAGAGTCACAAATTGATTGCTCTTACCATAATAATATGATGATAGAATTGTGATGCGCTCAGTTGGCTGGAAAAGGAAAAAAAAAAACGTCAGAGACAGCTTGGCAACAACTTATATTATTGAGAGCAATTACTATGTATCCCTAGAGGGTATCATAATACCGAGAGAATAAACTGACAATTATATAAGGAGAAAGTAAAGAAGTATAATACCAAAAGTCATCTATGAAATGATGTTCGCTACTTTGCCAAAATTTATATTGGAGGCATAAAGATAGCACTTAAAAATGGTGGTGCACAAAATACGCGGGCTAGATTCACATATGCAGGTGATACTTGATAGAGGCCCGGTTCTACCATGAGATTACCGCACCTTTTCTGCTAAAAAGCTGTTAAATGTCTCTAAGAACAGAATCATTATGGTGTGATACACTGTTTGCAAACAAATGCACCCTGAGAAATTATTTGGCTCTGCATTAACATGCCTTATTGCAACTGCAACAGTAAAAAGCCTACGCAAGGGAAGGAGTGTTGAGATGGATGTGCCCAGTAATTGAATATTTGTTTTTTATGGCCATAAGTTCCATTACATCTTCAAGACATTTCCTGGTGTCCTGTTCCAACATATTCATTGTATGGAATATGACCTCTCAATTAGTAAATCCAAAGTTGATTATTGAATAGTAAGCAAGAAGATTAGGAAGATACCATTACAAACATCCCTTCACGGCGAGTAGGTAGTTGCTCAAGCTTTTTCAATGTCTCGTCACCTTTGGTAACTCTACCAAATATAGCATACTGAAGTTCATCCACATCAGCATAACAGAAATAATCCCTAGTCAATTTGCAAAAATTCTCATGCATTAAGGTTAATCACCTGAACTAGCATTGGCATACCTTGCCATCAAGATGTGGAGCATCTCCAAGAAGTATTGAGAAAGAGGATTGTGCGCTGTCTGGATCGTCATATCTACAAAAAAAAAATTGACTTAAAAACAACCTTTGATATGAGTTCATCAAGTTTATTGTCTGTTGAACATTAAACAAAAACAATCCATAAAAGTACCGAGGGAGTTCCGCCCCAAAAATGTAGACTTTAATATGAGTTAAGAGATGAAGTCTTCATAAGGTTTTAAGTTGAATGTAACCCCCAGAAGATAACAAAAAGAAAATTGTCAGAATTTGTCATTAGGAAAGTTCACGCGTCAACATATGGATATGGCCAAGAGAAGAAAACTATCAAGAAGCTCGACAGGAATTAGTCAGGGTCAACCTAAACCTCTCCCAAACTTCTTGTAATTCACGCTGAGAGCAAAGGACTCATGGGAGCAGACACTGAATTTTGATGCGATCCAGCAATTAGATTGTCCTCTGTAGAGAAGACAAATCCATGTCTTTAGATATCTGACCTCTCAATTCTCCAAGATCCTTATTAATCTAAATCTCATCTCTTAGATAAATAGCTCATTTCTGAACCATCTGAACTTCTTAAGACCCTCATTCTGAATTCTTGGCCAATGCAACATATCCCAAGAAAATGACATACGCAAACAGCTCAATATGAGTCATATGACGCCCTTTTGTCCTTATACGTACTCAATTAAGATATATTTAATTGGGTTGAATATAGCAAATAAGAAACTCAGAGATTCCATCAATATCGTTTGACTCGGAGGATCCCACACATTCAGCAAATTATACTTTTAAGCTTCACAAAACCTAGTAATATTTTACTCTTAGTTAAATGTATGTCCACCGCACTACACCTTCAAGGGACTTTATCAGTTTCTACAGAAACAGAATACTTAGAAGCATGAGATGTCTCATATCGGTGGAGTTCAACATCCATTGGGTGATCTCAAAATGATATAGCAGCAGACTCCGTCGAAACCCAGAATGCTCATATGCTGAGAACCATTACCACTTCGCAAAAGCACGTCACCTTTACATGTGTCTCTAGCTACCGCAGAAGGAAAACTTAATTAGAGACCTCAATTTTACTGCATCGTTACGGCATACAAGTCCCGAATCGAAGAATTCCCCCCCGCAATAGCAAGTAACGTGCAGTGATCCTCATTGGAGAGCAAAGTCTGCTGTGTTCATCAAAAAGAAACGTTTTCTTTACCTCCCCATGGAAAGAATGCCCCTGACATGCTTGACATCACTGAACTCGCCGACGACAGTTTTCTCGGCTTCCGTTCTCTGCTCATCATTCATGGGTGCGGATCTCCCATTCGCTACATCAGCCACTTGGGCAACAAAACCTTTATCCACCTATTCCGATCACATTACGCGCACTGTCTTCATCAATACCGTGACCCACATTGAAAACCAAGACATCCCAACCAAAAAAAAAACAAAAAGAAAGGGCCGCGGCCACCAGGCTTCTTCGGAGAGCATACCCGAAAGAAGTGATTGGTATTGTAGCCCCCGAGACGGACGAGCTTGAAAATGTGATCCACCGTTCTTGGAGCAACGCTCGGAAAGAACCCGAACTCGATGTCCCCATAATTAGTCTGCGGGCGGACAGAACGAAAGCGGTCGCCACGCAATTCAGGACGAGGAAAACTGCCGAACATCCCGCGGAATCAATCGAGGGAAAGAAATGTAGGGGTCGGGAACAAGAACCTGGAAAACGACACGAGCTGATCCGAGGTGGGGTTCCTGCGATGCGGCGCGCGCGCAGGCGGCGAGCACCAGGACGAGGCAAGCGGCGATGGAGGATCCGCCGCTGCGAGACCTCATGCTTGCCGCTGCTTGCTCGGTGTGGCGCTCGGAAACTGGATTCCACAGAGTCAACGATCAGATCGCCGGGTTGCCTCGCCGGGACCGATTTGATCTAAAGCCCGCTTAACGGCGCCGAAGAGGTCTGGAAAACGGGCCGGGTCGGGTCGGGTCGGTATTTTGAAAAATCGGATCGGCCCGAACATTTCGGGCTTCAACTTCCAGGCCTGGTTGACAGTCAAAAGTTATGATGGCAACCCCGTAAAACGCTCTCGTCAATGCATTGCTTGCTCTATCTTGGCAAATGTGAAGCTGATTCGTTTAACGAAAAATAAATAATTTAAAAAATATTTTTTTTTAAAAGCGATTGTATATATTGCTTATAAAGATGAACGAACGAATAAAAATTTCATTATCCATAAAAAGGTTTAAACATAAATCGTTATCGATAATGAAAATATTTTTTGTTAATTAATTATTTCGAGAGATTTAAGGGATTATTTTTAGAAAATTATTTTCCAAGCCATTTATTTCTGGCAAAACAAACGGAGCTTCTTGTGTTTTAGGTTTTCGAGAAAACGGTACCGAATTTATCAAGCATTATCTTGGTGTAATTCGTTTATACTTGCTTATCGAGGCACTTGAACGTGTAATTTTCCTTTCAGACCATTTGAAGATGTACTTTTTATATATGAAAGTAATAAAAAAAAATTAATCTGTTCTACTTTTAATACCTGAGGATAAATTTTTTATGAGTTTTTCATTAAAAACTAATGTAACTCGAGACAAATACCGAGCTCGGGCACTGTTGGCTAGGGCCTGGCACATGGGGCCGGCACGGCTCGATGACCATCCCCACAGCTCCCGGGTGGTTGAGACCCCATTTCCAAAAGTGGCACGGCAATAACGAGTCTGGTTTAGTAACTAGCCGACGGAACAATGCGCGTTCGGAACTAAAATTTTAAAAAAAATAATAATAATAAAATAAAAGGGGAAATTTATCTCGGAATAAAAAAGTCCCTGATATTTTTTTTTTTCTTTCGGTTCGATTAGATGGCCGACCCCACCACGCGCATGATGAACGACCCACTAAAGAAAATGTTGCGGATCGATTCCAAAACGGGGATCGGACATGTCACATGGGCGTGACTTGAAACCTGCCAATCTCCCCTTCTTTTAAGGCACTGATTTGGAAAACCACTAGTTGCTAAATGATCGATTTTTATAATGTTTTGTATCACCCGAAACCACTGTCATCTTCCTACCCTCTTTCTATATTCATATTTATTTGTTTGTTTATTTTTTAGTAGAGATCTTTTGCTCCATGCGTGGGCCAGAGATGTCTCCAGCTTTGTTTTCAATACTCAAAAATTTCATTATCCACCACCACCACCCCCCCCCCCTCCCCCACATTTTTTTTTATTTTGTGGAGAATCAGCATCCCTATAAAGTTGCACTTTCAATTGTACCCTTATTCTTAATCCCTTCTCATGAACTTAATTAAAAAGAACTCTTTCGTCTTTTCGAAAACATAAAAAGAAAAAATAATAAGAAGATGGAAATACGGACTCTGTGAGCGTTAAATATCTCTTATCGCTTTGTCTACGGAGCTTAGATGCTCTCTATACGTGTAGTTTCCATCTGCCTATCGGTTTAAGTTTTTAAATCGGACATTTTCACGTGGTATTTGAGCCGGATCTCCCTTTCGATTATCGGCTTAAAAATATTTCTTTTTATCCCTTTTGCCTTTTGGCATCGTGCCAAAAGAGAAAATGCTTAGTGGTGTGCGCTAGTCGCGAATTTCGCCCATTTTCTTTTTGAACACCTTTCGCGTCTTCCAATAATGCTCCACATGACGGACACGTCTTTACACGAGTGGCCGCCACGTGTTCGCGCGCCATTGGATGAGACGTTGACCCGCCCTTTGAGAAGGAATATTACACGGATCACGCGAGTACACTCGATTAGTTAATGTACATGTACCGAAATAGAAATTCGATTCTTAAGGACAAGTACAACGGATTTCGCGACAAAATTTGATGCCCAACCGGTCAATTACCGAATATAAGCACGACAACAATCATTAAAAAAAAATCTCCTTTTGCCACTTTAAATGTACGTTAATCTGTGACGAAAACTCACACTTAAAATATAATTTAGGACGTTGTTTGGAAAAAAAAAAATCGAACAAATTATTCAAGTTATGGTTATTCTTTATTCTCCTAAATAAATTATAATGCTTGTACGACATATGAAAAGTTATTCTTACGAAAGCTACATACAAAGATAGAAGGCGTGTCTTGATAATAGCATTTTTTTTCCCCTAATATAGCCTATATTGGCCCGCCGAGATGGTTGGGAAAAAAAAAACAAAGGAGTCGAAAAGGAAGATGGAAAACTAAGGAAGAAAAATACAATTCAAAGCGAATTTCCCAACTTTCTTGAAAAGAAAATTAAACCATACAAAAAAACGCAAAACTTTTGGGAATTCGTAGAAGGGTAAATATATCACAAAAAACCTCAAACTGGTACGTCCGTGATAAATTTACCCAAAACTAATTTTTTGATCACCAAAAATCCTAAATTAGTATATCCGTGACAAATTCATTTTCCTTAGTTTATGTTAAATTTTACCATCAAATTGATGAGCTGGATGACACACGGCAGTTGACGAGCGTAACAGTTTAGAGTTTTACCTCCGTTTGTCACGAGGTGTACCGATTTATGATTTTTCGTGATATTAATTCAATTTAACGGGAACTAACGGAGGGTAAATTTGTCACAAATGCACCAGTTTATGATTTTTTATGGTCAAAAAGTTAATTCGGGGTAAATTTATCACGGCATACCAGTTTGGATTTTTTCGTGGCATTAACTCTTTAATCTAGGAGAATATCTATAGGAATTAAATAAGAGAGATCAGCCAAAACATTACCATTTTTGTGTATTTTCTTCTTCTTTTTTTTATACGGTTGGTAAGAGGGCAATGGGTGCGAGACCCGATCCTGAACGAGGCCCGTCAATTTATTTTATTTTTATTTTTATTTTTAAATTTCGAACGATAAGATATGGTCGGATCGACAGTATGCCCAAAACCTAATCGGAGGTCCACCGAAAGGATTTTAATATTAAATTAAAAATCGACTGATGGCGCACTTTGATCGAAGTGGGGTCGCGTGCTTAGCTGTGGGCATCGTTCGAAGCGCGGCGCTCTTTTCTATTTCTCTTCTTTCCCCCGGGGTGGGGGGGGGGACCCACTTTTGGCCCTTTTCTTTTTTTTGGGCATTAGAAAAACAACGACTAATTATGACTTTCGAATTGACCGCGTAAAATAAAAGTCCTCTTTTTATTTTATTTTATCTTATGTATTTTTTTTTGTGGGGGGCGGGGGGGCGGGGGGTCAGAATATAAAATAAAGTTAGCGAAAAGATGGGTAGTTAAAATCCTCAAATATTCGACCCAAAAATAATAATAATTCGCAAATAAATAGTGGATCGGGCCGAAAATGTGAAGTTCTTTTTCTTTCACACGGGCAGTGCGTATTCTAAGTTTTCGAAAAGAATTAGAGTCGCTTATTATTGTCTCCTACTTACTTCTTCGTCTTCTTATTTAATTTATTTTTCAGAAGAAGCCATAGAAAAAACCCTAAACCATGCTCATTACTTATCGCGGCACGTTTACCCCGAACTTTTTTCGTGACGTCAAGAGCCTCAGACCATGCCTATTGTGACATGTTCATTCTAGACTTCTTCTCGTGACACAAGAAACCCTAAACACGTACCTGCGTGACACATTTGCCTTCGGTCAAGGCTCCGCCAGATGATTTTTCAGCCAAAACAATGTCGTTTTTACGCCATGTTAACACCGTTTGCTTTCCGGCGTCCATGTAGGAACGGTTCTCGTTGACAGAATCTTGAATTTTAAATTTTTGATGTCTCATATGAATATTTAGGATAAACACGTTATTGTAGACACAGTTTAAGATTCTTGGCCTTTTATTATAATTCTTTTTTGGGAGGTAAAGAAAGGTCCAAATCACGGGTCAAGTGACAACTATAAGACATGATTAAGTAAAGCTTGTTATCTTTTGTGATCATTTTCATTACAAGAGAGATGCGTTCATTGGTGGATCATTTGATTTGACTCGAGGTTGCTTTCGGTCCGATCGGTCTTCCTTTTTTTTTTTTAAATCTTTTCTTCTTCTTTTTTAATTCTCGAGATGGGCTGGCAATGTCGGTGTAATGTCGCATTATTTTCCCTGTTGATTTCTCTAAACCTTCGGACAGCTCATAATTAATCCAACAATATCAAAAGTACATGCGTTTTCACTCGAGTTATGTATAGTGATATGATGATTTGATGGAGAGTAACTTCCATAATTGAGAGGCTAAATACCACGCAATATCAATAGCTTGAAAGATTGGAAAGTGAAGAAAATATGGACTTTGAAGGGGTTTGGTTTAGCTTTGTGGACCGACATAATTATCGTCTGGCGAGGCTTTCGCGAAGTTATATCGATTTTTTTTTACTTTAAAATCAATCGAATTGAACTATATGTGTCAATAATTAGGTCAATGCGCGAAAAAAAAAAACATGATGTGATGTAGCCAAACATATATGGATTTTTGGGGGCGCCCGGCATTAGAATTTACATTGGATCATGTAAGCTTTTCGCTACCAGATTAAAGAAAAAACTTAAAGATTGCCTCCTCGAATTTTAACCTAGATTCGTCTCGCTCTCTCGACTTTTTATTCATTGACAGATCGGCCCCTGACGTTCTATCTACGATCTCAAATCACCTCATGGCTTCACCGCCGATGCGAATCCGGTTCAATTCGATCCCGACTTTCAGCACACCATTCTTTTCGGGACAATTTTGCCATACCGGACGCATGCCGATCTGGACAGGTGTCCGTCGATTTCGTGCCAATCCCAAATGACACCACGTCGAACTACGAGGGCCGTACCATTTCGCAGTTAAGAAATCGGCATCTGATAAAGCTCAATTCAGCAGTACATCACGTGCAATCAAATTCCACCCAAAATTTCGGGGGATAATAACGCGGAGTTGCAGGGGGGGAGGGTGGGGGGTGTAAATGCAATTACGCGAAAGTCGAGGGGCCAAATCCATTTTGCTAATAACTAAAAAAAAGAAAAGGGAATAAATACACCTGTCAACATGTAAATAAAACAGAAAGGTTGATTTTCTTTCTTTCTCTCTTTTTTTTTTTAAAAAAAAAAATCTTTTTATTTCCGTCTTTGGGCAAATCTGGGAGCTCCACCGGCCACATCTGAAGCTGCTCTGATTTGCAGAGAAAATCTAGAGGAAGGACGACTCTAGAGAGAGAGAGAGAGAGAGAGAGAGAGCGCGCGCGCGCGAAGAACGGAAGCTTGCGCCGGTGAGGGGGAAAGGGATCGCCGGAACGGAACGGAGGGAGGAAGGTCGAAGGCGAATCCGAATCGAAGCGCTTCTTCTTCCTTTTTCCATTCCCCTTCAACTTCAATCAGTAAGTCGCCGAATCTCTCTCCCTCTCTCTCTGTCTCTCTCGCTCTCGCTCTCGCTCTCGCTTTTGGCTGATCCCGTCTCGTGCTCCCGGGAGCCGCCGCCGTCGTGTTCCGTCGCCGGATTCAGCGGCGGCTCGGAGTCGTCCCCGCGATTGGCCGTTACGACCGGATTCCGATCGAATCGGCGGAATCTCCCGGCCGCGTGCTCCGATTCCTTGGCTCGCGGCGGGGGTTTGTCCGGTTCTCGTCCGTCTCGGGAGCGGGTCGTTGTTTCGACTCGACGGTTCGATCGCCCCGAGCTCCGATGTGCTTCGTCGCGGTGGGGTTTTGGTATCGGCGATCGTGATTTTTCGTGCGCCGCGACACGACATCGAATTGCGCGAGTCTCTTTTTTTCCGTTTTCCCTATTTGTGTTTTTTTTTTTCCGGGTTTGTTATATTTCGAATCGGGTTAATTTGTGTGGTTCCGGGGGCGATGAAACGATTGATTTCTTAATTAAAAGGGCGGTTTTGGAGTTAAATTGAGGTATCGAGTGTTAAATGCTCTCTGTTTCGAGCGCATTTTGCAGTTTCTTCTTCCTCGAAGTAGAGCTTGACTGTTGAGTTAATGCAGAGTTTGCGTAGAGAGAAAGCCTGTGGATTGATTTGGGTCTGTGAGTGACTTCGGTTACCCTGTTTGTTGATAGATAAAAGGAGACATGTTGGAGGGTCGTTCCTGTCTGGTTTCGAGGATGTTCTCGAGCTCTTGCCGGCCGGAAACCAATTGGTCTTGCAAGACTTGCAGGCTCGAGGTGGAAATTCGCGGCAGCAAGCGCCTGCCCGGTGCTGACGTGGAGGATTATCGGCGAAGGAAGTCGTTCAAGCTTTTTGATCTGCAAGACGAAACTTCTTGGGGTTGGCATGGAAAGTCCGATGGTAGGAGCGTCTTCGACGCTGGTAATGCTGAAGAGGGTCTCCTATATGATGATACGAAAGAAGATCGCAAGCAAGAAGAAGGCAGTGTGTGTCAGGCTTTTCTGTGCGAAGAATCGGATAATCAACGTCATGCTGGGGATTCTTCACACTCGAATTCCCTTATCAACTCCATTGGCAGGGATATGTCAATTAACTGTCTTATTCGTTGCGCGAGATCCGATTATGGTTCCATTGCCTCATTGAATCGGAGTTTTCGGTCATTGATTAACACTGGTGAGCTCTATAAAATGAGGAGACGGAATGGCATTGTCGAGCACTGGATTTATTTTTCTTGCAACTTGCTCGAATGGGATGCTTTCGACCCAATTCGGGGTCGATGGATGCACCTTCCGAGAATGATCTCAAACGAATTGTTCATTTTTTCTGATAAAGAGTCCTTGGCAGTGGGCACCGAGCTTCTTGTATTTACTACGTACATGATATACAGGTATAGCATTCTAACAAATTCTTGGTCCTCTGAAGGCGGGATGAATGCTCCGAGGTGCCTGTTTGGATCTGCTAGTCTTGGAGAGATAGCGATCGTAGCTGGTGGGCAGGATCCTCTTAATAACATACTGAGCTCTGCGGAGATGTACAACTCCGAAACTCATGAATGGCATCCTCTTCCAAGCATGCACAAACCAAGGAAGATGTGTTCCGCAGTGTTTATGGATGGCAAGTTCTACGTAATTGGCGGGATTGGCGGCAGTGAAGGGAGGGTTCTCACATGTGGGGAGGAATATGATATAAAGACGGGACGTTGGACCGAAATCCCCGATATGTCCCCGGGAAGAGAGACTGACATACCTGCTTCAGCCGAAGCACCTCCTTTGGTTGCAGTCGTGAACAACGAACTGTATTCTGCTGATTATGCGAACATGGAAGTGAGAAAGTATGATAAGGTGCAAAGGATGTGGTTTCCGGTGGGTAGACTACCTGAAAGCGCAGCCTCGACATATGGATGGGGCCTTGCCTTCCGAGCTTGTGGAGACAGCCTCATCGTCATTGGTGGACCTCAAAATTTCATCGAGCTCAACTCTTGGGTTCCAAGTGAAGGCCCTCCAATGTGGAACTTGCTCGCCCGGAAGCGATCGAGCAACTTTGTCTATAATTGTGCTGTTATGGGATGCTGAGTTGCTGGATTGCCCTATGCCATACCTCTAGCGCTTCCTCACACGATGAGTTGAGCAAGATGGGTATAAGGTTCGTTGCAAGATTTTATTTGCTCGTGGCGGCACTATCCTCTTCTTTCGGTCTGGATTGGGAGAGACAAGGCGAGGAGTTTCGGGTTCTCTTGATTCTATAGATGTTGTCTCTTAACAAGAGGTCTTGATTTTCTTTCACAGGCTTTTTTTTCAATCACAACGCTTTTGCAAATTTGGAGTTGGTGCCTAGTGCCCGCTCCCTTTGCAGTGACATGCAGCATTTCAGGGAATGGTCTCACATCAATGGAGTCAATAAAATACAAAGTGCCAATTGCTCCATCCTGGGCGATGCCTGGATTTTCTTCTCTTATATCCTATACAAAGCCAGCTGTCTGGATCTATTCCTTTATCTTCTCGTTTGCTTTTTCGAAATAACTTGATTCACCACTTGGAACTGGAAGTTCTCATTGCCTGGCTTCAACTTCAATAGAGAAGAACGGGTTCAGTTTTTAAACCGCGGTCCTGTCTGGCCCGATCCTCTCGCTTTCTGGGGGCCGCCCCCAACCCTGTCATGGGCCTTTTGGCTGAGCTTTCATGGGTTTTCTTAATCATGTAAAGCTGTAACGAATGACGGGCTTGAAGTCACTTCAGTGCAGAGTTGGTACGTTCCCTGAAAAGTTCGCATCAGCCGGAAAAGCAGAACTAATCCCTTCTAAGCGACTTAGGTAGGGTGCTTGAGTTAAATGGAATCGTCCAAGTACCATTTCAAAAAATGGGTCATGCTGTGGGAGTGCTTATTAGCTCAGGATATGATTATTCGTGACATCGATCCGATTCAGTCGGCCATGGCGACCCCGGGGCACCATGTGTAAGGGCTCTCGAATAGTGGGGGCCCAAATGGTTTCGTGTTCCTCGATAGGTTGTTTCTTTTTTAGAGAAAGATCTTAGCACCGGGAGGGAAATGAAGCTCTTGTGCAAGATAGAGGAACCCTAACTTGACAGATAAAAAGGGAAACAAAACTTTTATTGCACTTAAAACAAGGGTTAATATCACGAAAAACCCTAAACTGGTACACTTGTGACACATTTACCCCAAACTATTTTTTTGACCATAAAAAACCCCAAACTGGTACACCTGTGACAATTTTACCCCGAACATACACAAACCAAACCGGCGATACACGTGTGACGTTTATCCCAACTAATTTTTAATATTATTTTTATTTTTTGAATTTTTTTGAATTTTTTCTTTTCTTTTTTTTTCTTCACTTCAACCTTCGGCGACCGGCCAGAGGCGGAAGCCGGCGAGGGCCGCCCTCGCTCGACTCGGCAAGGGCGACCCTCGCCGGCGTCGGGCGAGCCGTCTCGTCCGCCCGGGCGGTCGACCTCGCCCGAGTCGGGCGAGGGTCGCCCTTGCTGGCCGGGCGAGGGCAACCCTCGCCCGGGCGTAGGCGAGGGTCGCCCTCGCCGGATCCGGCGAGGGCGGCCCTCGCCCGATCTGCGGGGGTCGCCCTCGCCCGAGTTGGGCGAGGACGGCTCTCGCCCGACGCCGCCGAGGCGGCCCGACACCGGGGAGGGCGGCCCTCGCCGACGCAGCGAGGGCGACCCTCGCTCGATACCGACGAGGGCGGCCCTTGCCGGATTTGGCGAGGACGGTCCTCGCCCGACGCCGGCGAGGGCAGCCCTCGCCCGATATCGGCGAGGGTCGCCCGACGCAGGCGAGGGCAGCCCTCGTCCGATACCGGCGAGGGTCGCCCTCGCTGGATCTGGCGAGGACGGCCCTCACCCGACGCCGGCGAGGGCGGCCCTCGCCGACTTCCGCCTCTGGCCGGTCGCAAAGAAAAAAAAAATAAAAGGAAAAAAATAAATAAATAAATAAAAATTCGAAAAAAAAATTAAAATTAAAATTTTAATTCAGGGTAAAATTGTCACATATGTACCAGTTTTGGGTTTTTTTTGGTAAGTTCAGGGTAAAATTGTCACAGATGTACCAGTTTGGGGTTTTTTATGGTCAAAAAAATAGTTCGGGGTAAAATTGTTACAGGTATACCAGTTTGGGGTTTTTTATGTTCAAAAAATTAGTTTGGAGTAAATGTGTCACAAGTGTACCAGTTTAGGGTTTTTCGTGGTATTAACCCCTTAAAACAAAGAAGAGTTCGTAATTTGAAAAGACTTAAGACTCCCATCATAATGAAGTTACGTAGGTAAGAAGTTGTCTATCGAATACCTGGATAGTAGATATCAAGTTGAAACTCACAACGAACGCATTTTATATGGTTCTCAATCTCGCCTCAAGAGTATACCGCGTACAAATCAATTCAAGACAAATGCTAGACTTACTAAAGACCGATTTACAAGGTTGTTAGATGATGTGTTAGATTGTGATTGGTTCCTGAATATGCCCACTTGTTTAAAGGGCTACATCAAAATTTGATACTTCATTTAGGGTGTGCATGAATACCATTCTGTGCCCGGGAACTATTTCTGAACAGAAATAATTTTTTTTTTATTCTGTGCCCGGAAACAATTTCTGAGTATTCTTTAACAAAAAAAAAAATTAATTTCTGAGTATTTGAAGGCGTTTGATAAACTGTCCAAAATTTCTATTCCTAGAGTAGAAAAGAACAGAAATGCATTTGGTAACTACACAAAATTTCTGTTCCCAAATAATATTTTAATAATATTTTGAATTGTTTAATTTTTTTTTTCTTTCTACCTATTTTCTTCTTTGGTCATGGCCGGTCGCCGGCGACCGGCCACATCCCAGGGCCGGCGAGGGCGTCACGACCCTTGCTTGGCCGCCCGGCGGAGGCGAGGTCGCCCTCGCCGCGAGGGCGAGGCGGACCCTTGCGGCTGGGCGGGCGGCCTCGCCGGTCGGTCGCGACGGCGAGGTTGGCCTCGCCCGAGACGGCGAGGCTAGGCCTCGCCAGATTTGGCGAGGCCAAGCCTCGCCGTGGTCGCGACGGCGAGGCTTGGCCTCGCCAAATCTGGGCGAGGCCTAGCCTCGCCGATCTCTGGGCGAGGCCGACCTCGCCGTCGCGACCAACACGAGGGCGACCCTCGCCTCCGCCGACGGCCGGCGAGGGCCGTGACTCCCTCGCCGGCCCTGGGCTGTGGCCGGCCGCCGGCCTAGCCCAGGGAAGATCAACACAAAAATAGGAAAAGAAAAAAAAGAAAAAAAACTGATTCTCAAAATTGTGCCGAGAAACAAGAAACAACTTTTTTTTACTTCTTGTTTCTCTTCCAAAACTGTTTCTTAGCACAAATTTTTGAAAAAATGTGCCCGGGAACAAAAAGTTTACCAAACGCATTTCTGTTCCCAAATTATTTCTGGGAACAAAAGAACAGAAGTTTTCACTGTTTGGCACGTTGCCAAACAGGCCCTTAGCAAATCAATTTCGTGAAGAAATCTTAATAAGTCGAACATTACTCCTGCGTTTATAGAGGTCTCAGTCACATTTTATAAGGAGATCTGATTCAATGAGGTGGAGACCAATGGCCCAGTATCCCCCACTTGCCATCATGGAACAAGCGAAACGAACCTAAAAAATGAATTTTGAAACACAGTGTACTCTATAATTCGAATTTAACGAGGTTTTTCCTATGTATCGAATATTGCACACTGTAAATAACAGCTATATTCCAACAAACACAGCGATATGTCGTGCTTCGCAAGTGAATATCGATCCATGTAAACTCCCCCCGACTCTCTAGTCAACAATAATTGAGTTATCACTTTGCTTGGCTTCGGGTGACGCTGACGTTTCATGAGTTTGGTCTTGAGATTCTCGACCTGCTACTAGTCGTCGCATCTTGTCAAAGTTCCACGAGAACATTACATGAATTTCATTGATCGGCAAAACTGACATTAAAAGTTCACGAGAGTCTACACTTTTGGTACGACATCTACCGTACTCTTGTGAGGAACTTTGCTCCCTACTGTTTGAATCAATAAAATTACCCTGTTTTTCTTTTGTTTATTTTTTTTGGCCCAAATAACAAATTTTCTTTCAAGTTGGCATTTTCTTTTTCTTTCTTTCTTTTTTGTGTGTGTTTTTTTTGGGGCCCAATAACCACTTGGTTGCTAAAAGAAAAGTTGGCGCCACCCAAACAAGACACTGACAGGGCATCTTTTCCTAAATTGGATCCGCTTGGCATTTTCTTTTTCTTCTCTCTTCTTTTTTATGTCCTCCGGGCCCAATATCTACTTTTTTTTTGCTAAGTAGGCCCAATATCTACTTGGTTGCCAGCAAAGAAGATAACCCAAATCTGTCTCTCTGTCTCTCTGTCTCTCTCAAATCGGGGAGAAACGGGCAAACAGTAATTGTACCAGAAAGTGATCGAACGTGGTCTCCACTGGCATACTTATTCTCGCCACGTGAAGCTTCACCCATCTCCTTTTTAGCTCCCTTTTTCTCCAACCCCGTGTCGTTGTATCTGGTCTTGAAGTGATATCTTACCTGCGAAAAATCTTTCTTAGGACACGCATAAAATCTATTCTGGAGTAAAAATTCTGCTCCAGAATGCATTCCGAAATAGAAATGCGTTTATTAAAAAATTTCCGGAATGCATTCTGGAGCAATTTTTACATTCTGTAATAAAAATGTGTTTGTTAAAAATACTTGATTCCAGAATACATTCTTGATTCCAGAATGCATTTTTGATTCCAGAATGAGTTTTGGGCAAGAAAAAGAGGAATGCATTCTCCCTATTTTCTATCTTTTTCTCATTAATTTTTTTTTTCAAAAAATGCATAAAAATTGAAAAATTCCAGAAAAATTCATAAAAATTTCCAGAAAATAAAAAAAGTTAGATTTTGAGAAAATAGGAAATTTGGTGAATTTTTTTCAAAAAATATAAAAAAATCAAAAATTTCAAAACTTCACGGAATGGCTTAGAATACTTTTGGACACCCACTTTGAGTGAAATTTATTTTTTTTGAGGTGCCCAAAAAAATCAAAAAATCAAAAATTTCAAAACTTCACAAAATGGCTTAGAATACATTTGGGCACTCACTTTGAGTGAAATTTAATTTTTTTGAGGTGCCCAAAAAAATCAAAAAATCAAAAATTTCAAAACTTCACAAAATGGCTTAGAATACCTTTGGGCACCCACTTTGAGTGAAATTTAATTTTTTTTGAGGTGCCAAAAAAAATCAAAAAATCAAAAATTTGAAAACTTCACAAAATGGCTTAGAATATCTTTGGGCACCCACTTTGAGTGAAATTTAATTTTTTTGAGGTGCCCAAAAAAATTAAAAAATCAAAAATTTCAAAACTTCACAAAATGACTTAGAATACCTTTGGGCACCCACTTTGAGTGAAATTTAATTTTTTTGA